GCCCAAGAGGGCCCCAAGACGGCCCAAGAGGCGCTCAAGACGGCCCAAGAGGGCGCCAAGACGGCCCCAAAAGGGGGACCACGAACCGAAAAGTCTAGCCTTTCGCCTCAAGACGCTCCCAGGAGGCCCCCAGAGCCCTCCAAGAAGCCCCAAGAGGCGCCCAAGAGGCGTCCCAAGAGGCCACCGGGAGGCGAAAATCATTGATTTCCTATGGGGAAAGGTACATTTTTAGCATACAAGGCTTTTCGGCTTTCACTGCGTTGAAGACGCTCCAAGAGGCCCCCAAGACCGCCCCAAGACGGCCCAAGAGGCTCCCAAGAGGCCCCCAAGAGGCCCAAGAGGGCGCCAAGACGGCCCAAGAGGCGCCCAAGACGGCCCAAGAGGGCCCCAAGACGGCCCCTAAGAGGGGGACCACGAACGGAAAAGTCTAGAAGCTCCCAGGAGGCCCCCAGAGCCCCCCAAGAAGCCCCAAGAGGCCCCCAAGAGGTTCCCAAGAGGCCTCCAAAAGGACCCGACAAGGGCCCCAATAAGACTCCCAAGAAGGCCCAGAGACGCCAAATAGAGAGCGATCGGTAACGCAAAAAGCTCTTCACACCAAGGCTCCCAAGGGCGAACGGTGACGTAAACAAGCTGATAAGACCAAGGCTCCCAGCAGAGAGCGGTGACGTAACAAGTTCCTGACAACAAGGCCAGCCAAGGCTCAGGAACGGGCACCAACGCAACAATCTCTGAACACCAAGGCTCCCAAGAGCGAGGGGTGACGTAACAAGCTCTCAACGCCAAGGCTCCCAGTACGAACGGTGGTGTGAGTAATTTCGGTTTCTGCTTCTGAAGCGCTCTTTCCGTTTCTGTGCCGGGCCAGTTCCAACGGTGGCGACGACCGAGGCTGCCCAGGAGGCCCAAAAAGGGGAAAACGGTCGAAGGGTAGAGGTATGGATACCTTTTTCTTCTTTGAGGAGGAGGAGAAGGAGGAGGAGGAAAAGGAGAAGGAGGAGGAGGAGGGGGAGAAGGAGGGGGAGGAGGAGGAGGAGGAGGAGGAGGAGGAGGAGGAGGAGGAGGAGGAGGAGGGGGAGCAGGAGGAGGAAGAGGAGGGTTCATCGTTCGTCTGCGCAGGCGCGGAGGCCCGTCGCGCCCTCCGGCGTCGGGAGAGCTGGCACGGGCAGGGGGGGCGGCACGTCGAAGCGGGGGCAGAACCTGGGCCGCCAGAGAGCGCACAGAGCAGCGGCGCAGGCGCCGCAGGCGCCGCAGGCACGGCGCTGCAAGGCGTCTCCTTCGGGGAGCTCACGGCTTCGCGAGGAGCGGGCAGGTTGCAAAGCAACACCTCTTAGGAGAGGCCTGGGAAGCGCATGGCCTCCAGAGGCAGTCTCTGCGACGGCTGCGGGTCCTGCGCAATTGCGGCACTTATCGGCGGTGGCTCTAGAGCCGCGCTCTTCGCGAAGGCAACGAAGGGAACAATCGCGTGGAGAGGTGCTGGATCGCTGCTGCCACGCTCGCTCGGGGGCATCCAAGAAGGGGGCGTCAGCAGGAGTGGCAGGGTAAGGGGGAGGGAGAGGAGGGCATTGCAGAAAGTGTCCACGCCATCCCTCCTTTCCTCCCTTCTTTGTTGTTATCCTTCCAACTCCTCCCTCGCCCTCCTTCCACCCTGTCTCTTTCGCATCCATCTTCCTCCATAGATCCATTTGTCCTCATTCCCTCCCTCGTCCCCGGATACTCCTGGTGTTCTTTCTGTCCCCTGTACGTGAAAACATCTTCAAACAGCGGAGCACGCGAGATTGACACTGAAAAGATAATTATCCCGGCAAAGCAACCTAACATCGATGTGTAGGAGCATATCTGGAAGCATTCCCCTTAAGATTCGGATGAGAATCCAGTTGTAGAATTCTGCTGTTCTCGCAGTCGTAGTCGCATTCGCGATGACAGTCGCAGTGGCAACGGCAGTCGCAGTCACAGCCTCAGCCTCAGCCTGCCTCAGCCTCAGCCTCAGCCTGCCTCAGCCTCAGCCTGCCTCAGCCTCAGCCTCAGCCTGCTTCAGCCTCAGCATCAGTCTGCCTTCAGCCTCGGCCTCAGCCTCAGCCTGCCTCAGCCTCAGCCTGCATCAGCCTCAGCCTCAGCCTCAGCCTGCCTCAGCATCAGCCTGCCTCAGCCTCAGCCTCAGCCTGCCTCAGCCTCAGCCTCAGCCTGCTTCAGCCTCAGCCTCAGTCTGCAGCCTCGGCCTCAGCCCTCAGCCTCAGCCTGCATCAGCCTCAGCCTCAGCCTGCCTCTCAGCCTCCTCAGCCTCAGCCTCAGCCTCAGCCTCAGCCTCAGCCTGCCTCAGCCTCAGCCTCAGTCTGCCTCAGCCTCGGCCTCAGCCTCAGCCTGCCTCAGCCTCAGCCTCAGCCTCAGCCTCAGCCTGCCTCAGCATCAGCCTGCCTCAGCCTCAGCCTCAGCCTGCCTCAGCCTCAGCCTCAGCCTGCTTCAGCCTCAGCCTCAGTCTGCCTTCAGCCTCGGCCTCAGCCTCAGCCTGCCTCAGCCTCAGCCTGCATCAGCCTCAGCCTCAGCCTCAGCCTGCCTCAGCCTCAGCCTGCCTCAGCCTCAGCCTCAGCCTGCCTTGGCCTCAGCCTCAGCCTGCTTCAGCCTCAGCCTCAGTCTGCCTTCAGCCTCGGCCTCCGCCTCAGCCTGCCTCAGCCTCAGCCTGCATCAGCCTCAGCCTCAGCCTCAGCCTGCCTCAGCCTCAGCCAGCCTCAGCATCAGCCTGCCTCAGCCTCAGCCTCAGCCTGCCTCTGCCTCAGCCTCAGCCTGCTTCAGCCTCAGCCTCAGTCTGCCTTCAGCCTCGGCCTCAGCCTCAGCCTGCCTCAGCCTCAGCCTGCATCAGCCTCAGCCTCAGCCTCAGCCTGCATCAGCATCAGCCTGCCTCAGCCTCAGCCTCAGCCTGCCTCAGCCTCAGCCTCAGCCTGCTTCAGCCTCAGCCTCAGTCTGCCTTCAGCCTCGGCCTCAGCCTCAGCCTGCCTCAGCCTCAGCCTGCATCAGCCTCAGCCTCAGCCTCAGCCTGCCTCAGCATCAGCCTGCCTCAGCCTCAGCCTCAGCCTGCCTCAGCCTCAGCCTCAGCCAGCCTCAGCCTCAGCCTCTCAGCCTTCAGCCTCGGCCTCAGCCTCAGCCTCAGCCTGCCTCAGCCTCAGCCTGCATCAGCCTCAGCCTCAGCCTCAGCCTGCCTCAGCATCAGCCTGCCTCAGCCTCAGCCTCAGCCTCCTCAGCCTCAGCCTCAGCCTGCTTCAGCCTCAGCCTCAGTCTGCCTTCAGCCTCGGCCTCAGCCTCAGCCTGCCTCAGCCTCAGCCTGCCTCAGCCTCAGCCTGCCTCAGCATTCAAAATGTGGCCCGGGAATGGAGTTCTGGGAACTCGAAGAACACGAAGTGGCCTACAGTTGGCTCCGGGCATTCAAAATCATGCCCAGGAATGGAGTTCTGGGAACTCGAAGATCACGAAGTGGCCTACAGTTGGCTCCGGGCATTCAAAATGTGGCCCGGGAATGGAGTTCTGGGAACTCGAAGAGCACGAAGTGGCCTACAGTTGGCTCCGGGCATCCAAAATGTGGCCCGGGAATGGAGTTCTGGGAAGTCGAAGAGCACGAAGTGGCCTACAGTTGGCTCCGGGCATCCAAAATGTGGCCCGGGAATGGAGTTCTGGGAAGTCGAAGAGCACGAAGTGGCCTACAGTTGGCTCCGGGCATTCAGAATGTGGCCCGGGAATGGAGTTCTGGGAGGTCGAAGAGCACGAAGTGTGTGACTGTATGCGAAAAACGATCCCCCCCGGCAAACCCCAACGGCCCCCCAACGGCCCCCCAACGGCTCCCCAACGGCTGCCCAGACCCCCCTGTGGAGTAATGTGCTGCTCTCTTTTTACACCATTAGAAAACTATCAGTCTTCGATGTTAGGTAATAACACATAATCCAGGCCAAGATGATCTTTCTGTCATATCACGCAAACTGGATGAAAAATCAACCATGTCTTGCAAACCAAAAAGCCACTGAATTCTACGGAACGTGAAACGTAATACATTGATCGGCGAGCGGATATAGGTGTAACATGAACTGCAAAACTCGTCCTCATCCCGATCGTTCCCCCCTACTCCTACCATGATTGCTCCATGCGCGTACAATTCCTCATGCTCCTCCTCCTCCTCCTCCTCCATCTCGACCTGGCCCCTGGTCCTTCCGCTCCTCCTCCCCCTCTTCTGCCCCCCCGCGTCCCTCTCCTCATGCAAATCCTGCATCCTTCTCCATGAGACTTGGCTCCCTCTCCGACCCCCTTCCTGGCTCCCCCTCCCGAGTCGCTCGAATCATGATGCCCCTCGCCCCAAACCTCCCCCCTGTCATTCCATCCATCGCTGCCGACCCTCACCCCTCCACCCTGCCCCGAACACTAGCAGCCATCGTCTGCCCACCCCCTCGGACCGAGGCCGTGCACGGCAACGGCGAAAGACCGAAAACCGACCGCACTGGCGGCGAAACCGACAAAAACGACCGAGAAGCAGCCTGGCGGGCGCAGCGACGCGGCGCAGTGACCGACCGAACCGCACCAACCGAGCGGCAAACATCCGAGCTGCTGCTGCCGTTCTGCCTTGGCGCGCGCGCGCCAGCCGTCGCCGTCGTCGCTGCGGTGACCGTCGAGGGCGTCGCGCCGTCACAATCATAATCGCCATCGCCGCCGTCGCCGCCATGGCCGCCGTGGCCGTGGTCGACGGAGTCGCCGTCGTCGTCGCCGGCGTGGCCCCCGTCCTGCGCAGCCGAGCCTCCCCCGTGACAAAGCTCAGGTCGGGCCTGTCCCCTAGAGGGGGATTCTGGGTGAAAAATGCCAGATACTCAGTTAATACTCCCACAATTGTCAAACATAGTCAAAAAATAGTCCCCAGACTCTTCTTTGGCCATGTTCGAATCTCCCTCCAGTAGACGGACAGGCCCCACTTAAAACAGGGCCCAAAAGCTAACGTGAGCAGAAAGAGTCGCCACGAGCAGGGCAGGAGGTGCCTCGAGCTCCGCAGCTCGTCGCCGCTCCTCCTGGCGTCGCGCAGTGGGGTGGGGGGGGGGGGCGAGGCGCTGGCACTGGCCTCGCCATCGCTCGGACGTCCATTCCTCGTGCACTTGTCGGTTTCGTGCGTGTGTGTTTGCTCGACGATCCAGGATGCTCCTCGATGGCCCTCGCCGAGAACAGGATGCACGCGTCCGAGCGATGCCAAGTGACTTCAAGGGGCTCAGGGAGACGCGAATGCATGCTCACATGTTGTGTTCGATCTGCTTCTGGATTCTCGTCTTCCCCGAATTCTCCGCAGCGCCCCATGAATATGCTGGACATCTACGTTTATTCGTGTCTGTGTCTACGTGTTCCTCCTGACTGGTCACGGTCAGGAGCGCTTGCGCAGCGTGTCCCAGCGGCGGCCCAGGCGGCACGCCGAGCCTGGCGAGCGGACAGCGCGTCGCTCCCGCTCCAAGGGGCGGGAGGCTGGGAGCAGCTCGGGACACTGACGCTGGGGAGTGGGGACGCGGATAGCGCGTCGCGCCGAGGCGTGGTGGCCCAGAACCTGCAGAGCGCAACGCTGAAACAAAGTTCCTGACCGTGCAAAGATGCGCCTGAGCGCTGATGCGAGATAGCTTACTCGGTAGAAGTGGGCGACAACGTCGAATTAGGAAGGCGACCGATGAAGCAGACGAGGTACTTGATACCGCGACCTTCCATTCTGTGGCAAGCACGGGGGGAAGAGAGAAGGTGCGGGCCTGCTCAGAAGGCTCGGAAGTCCCCCCGGCCTTCTGAGAAGTTGTCTACGCCTTTTCCGAAGGCGCAGAAAAACTGCCCCGAAGGCGCGAGGGTTTCGGAGAAGCCCGGCTGCCTTCTGGGAAAGGCTTGCTCATTCTCGCTTCCCCCCCTCGCTCGCCGTCGAAATGATGAGCACGAGGAGCGGCACCCGCCAACGGGAAGGGCTCGTCGCCATCGAGGGCGGCTGCGCGGCGGCGAGGGGCAGGGCGCGCCCTGGCGGGAATGAAGCGAGAGGAGGAGCATGAGGGAGATTCCAGGTCCCATGGTTCTGGCTGGAGAGGGAGGGTTGGGAGGCCAAGGATTCCTCATACTGCAGCTCCCTCTCCTCCTCCTCCTCCTCATCCTCCTCCTACTCTCCTCCTCCTCCTCCTCCTCCTCCTCCTTCTCCTCCTTCTCCCCTCCTCATCATCCTCTACTCCTCCTCCTCCTCATCATCCTCTACTCCTCCTCCTGTCTTCTGATTCCTGATGGCCTGAGGGTTCGTCGAACGCGGGCTCTCGCTTCTCCTCCTCCTCCTCCTCCTCATCATCATCATCATGATCATCATATTCTTAGTATTCGTATTATTCGTATTCTTCTGATGAGTAGTATTATTATTACTATTATTATTATTATTAGTATCAGTATTAATACTATTCTTCCTCTTCTTCTTCATCCTCATCCTCATCCTCATCATCATCATCATCATCATCATCATCATCATCATCATCATCATCATCATCATCATCATCATCATCATCATCATCGTCATCATCATCATCATCATCATCATCATCATCATCATCATCATCATCATCATCATCATCATCATCATCATTATCCTCATCCTCATCCTCATCATGCTCATCCCCTCCTCCTCCTCCTCCTCCTCCTCCTCCTCGTTCTTTCATGTGTGGCTGGCTTATTATACTTCCTTGTTCCCTCCTCCCCCTCGTCCTGTTCTGTCATCCTCTTCTCCAGTCAACCCGCTCCGTTCCGAGAGGAAACAGTGGGGGATGAGAGGGAAGGAGAGGGGAAGGGGACGCAAACAAGGGGAACGAAGACCGTCAACATATTCTGCCCGCTCCAAAACGGATTCGGCGTCGATGCCGCCGTGGACGTCGGTCGTCGTCGATGCAGCCGCGGATGTGCATCATCACCATGCCTGCGAGCGTAAAGCCCTAAACATGAGTGTTGAACTATAAATCTGTAAACTACGCGGTGGTATATGAAATGCGTGTGTACGTAGTGCAGGCTATGCGATGTTATATTACGAGGCGCAAGCTGTGTGGTCCAATATGCGCGGTGCAAGCCATGTCGTGCAAGCTCTGCGGCGCAGTCTCGATCAGTGGAGCGAGCTGTGGAGTGCAGGCTCTGTGCTGCAAGCTGTGGCACAAGCTGTGCGGTGCGCGCTACGTGGTGCAAGCTGCGCGACGTAAGATCAACGGCGCAGGCAGTGCGGTCCAAGACACACGGTGCAATCGATGCTGCGCAGGCTATGCGGTGCAAGCCATGGGGCTGAAACCTACGCATGCGGCGACCGCCCACGGGCGGCGCCTGGTCGGAGACCCAGAGCATCCAGAACAATTGACTGGGCGCGCACGAGGCGCACGCGGGCGCCGCCGGGCGAAAACCCGAAGAGCCACCCAATTACTTCAACGCTGGCTACAATGCGCCCTCAGTGCCAGCACTCCTTCTGGGGAATTTCTGCGATGTCTCTTCTCCGGCGGTCAAGACTAGGCAATGGTGGAGAAGAGTGGAAGAGGATTGCCACAAGGCTTCCCCAGGACCAGCTTTTGGCCATACGTAATTAGGGTTTCAGGGGGTCACGCCGCCCAGGAATGGTTTCAGGGGGTCACAAGCGGCGGCGAACCTCAGGACCCCTATCCCACAAGACACCTTCAGCGCATGCCGAGAAAAAGGCGGGAGGGGAACCGGAAGGATGGTGAGGAGGGCAAGAAAGAGGGGGAAGGATGAGGAGGAAGCGGAAGAGGAGGGTGGCAGCGGTGAAAAAGGATAACGATACTAAGAACGAGGGAGGAGGTGGTGAGAAGGGAGGAGGGGGAGCAGGAGGAGGAGGAGGAGGAGGAGGAGGAGGAGAAGAAGGAGGAGGAGGAGGGAAGCAGTGAGGGGGAGGTGGAAGGCAAAAGAAAAGGTATGGCATGAAGTAAACGGTCGTGAGGGCTGGGGGGGTCTTCCCCTGGCGCCAGCTCTTCATCCCGAGTAGCTGGTCGCGGGCCCAGGGCCCGTGGAGGGCCCCCCGCGCCCGAGAACGGCAGGAAGCCTGCAGGGCCCCTTTCCCCTGGTGCCCGCTCGCTCCACTTGCCATCGCTCGGACGTCCATTCCCCGTGCGCTTTTCGGAGTCGTGCGTACGTTTCTCCGCGAGATGACCCACACGTACTCCTCGATAGCCCTCGCCGACAACGAAAACACGCGCGCGTCCGAGTGCTGCCGAGCTCATGGCGAGAGGTGGCGGGCGGCCAGAATCCGCGGCGCGCCGAGCGGGAAACTGGGAGGGGGCAGGCCTTCTCGCAGGGCTCGACCTAAACCGTATTGTTCGTTCTCGTTCTGTCTCCGCTCTCCCTCGCCTTGTCTTCGATCCGCCCCTGCTGCAAAACGACATCGAAACGACAACGGCGCACGAGATCGCCCAAACGCCGTTCGGGTCGACCCCTGCCTCCTCGGAGAGCGGCGGGGTGTCCGCCCTCCGGCGGCCTGCGCAGCCCCGCCGTGGCCGTGCACTTGGAGGGACAGCGCAGGGGGGAGAACAGGAAGCGGATCGCATGCCGGGCCGCTGCCCGAGGCCGCGCTGGCGGGTCGCAGCGAAGGCCTCCGGGCCGGGCGCGCGGGTCCAACTCTCGAGCACTGACGGCCACTAGACCGCACCGAAATTCCAGCAAGCCATGATGTGAAAAAAATCCTTTGGGGTTGAAATGAAGCTCCCATGCCTGGCCACCCAGAGAAGCCCTTTCGTGGCCTCCGAGGGAGGCTCAGAGAGCTTCTCCTGGAGGGCCCGACGCCTTCCGAGCCCGAGCCTTCAGGGGAGGGCCCACCCCCTTCGCCTTTCCCTCTGGGTTGGCCGCAGATCCTCGATCCTCGATCCCCGTCCTCGACCCTCATCGACCCTCCTCGATCCCCCTCACCTCGATCAGCCTCCATCCTCGATCCCCCCTCCTCGACCCTCCTCGGCCTTCGAACCTCCTTGATGCTCCGGGCGTGCCCGCGACTCGAGATGCTGTGCACCACGTGGTGCGGTCCACTGAGGGGCCAAAACGCTGGGCGAAAGAGGTCGGTGCACGGACGCTCCGGCGTGCCGCGGGTTGGGAGGCCGGGGCGTCTACGCACGGTGCCCCCGGGGTGTACGGCAGGTTCGCGCGGCAACGACCCCGGCGGTGGCTTCTGGCACCGCGTTGATCGTTCAACCTCGCGCAGCAGCGACCGCGGCGGTGGTTTCTGGCACCGTGTTAATCGTTCAACCTTGAACGATCGCGGCTTCCCGACGGCGCAGAGCGTTCGATTCTGGCCGCTTCTGGGACACCAGCGGCGTTCAACCTTGAACGCCCGTGCGCTTAGAGGAAGAAACATCTGCACACAGAAATAACTATATATCTATACATATATATACACAACAACAACTATACAAAAACTGTTAAAGGTCCGCGCGGATTGTCTGGATCTGCGCTTGCCCCCCCTCCCAAGCGCGGGGAGCGCGCCAAGGGCAGCGCAAATCCAAGAAATCCACGTGGACCTTCGAAAATTATGCTTACGCCGTGCTGAGGGCGTCGCCGCGTCGATACGGCACGAGCCTGCCGTGTGCCTGGAACCCCTCCCCTTCGGAAGCCCGAGATGGGTACGGAACAACTTGTACGTACCACCCCGCAGTTGCGGATAAGAGTGAGGGGGCGGCGTGGACGTCGGCAGTCTGCGAGGCTCTGAAGAAGCCCACCGCAGGCGCCCAATTTTCACAAATCATACAACGCGATCTCCGCAGGCGCCGAAATCTTCGTTACAGCCATGTGAATGGGTCGCGGGTGGATCGCGGACGAGTCGCGGGGTGGGTCGCGGGTGGGTCGCAGGCCAGGTCGCGAGTGAGTCGCGGGTGGGCAGCGGGTAAATCGCGTCTGGGTCGCGAGGGTCGCGGGGTGGGTCGTTGGTGGGTCGCTGGCCGGGTGGAGGGGGCAGACGCCAGCAAACAACAAACAACAAGCAACAAACAAACACACCACCACCAACAACAATCATTTTAAGACTGTTCGCTCTAATCTG